TCTGTCCGGTGGCCCAAATGCCTATATAACTGTCCGTTTTCTTCGGTGTAATCCGGGAACTTGGCTGGCTCTTCGGCGATCCTGGCACGCATACTCGCGACCCATTTGCAGGGTGACTCGGCCGCCACTGCTTGCTCACAGGTCTCTAGAGGATGCCTTGATAGTGCATCGGCCACGACGTTGAGCTTCCCTCGACGAAAGTGGACGTCAAATTGGAACTGTTGCAGTTCCAATGCCCATCGCGTGATTCTTCCGGACGGGCTCTCGATCGAGTTGAGCCACTTGAGTGCTAGATGGTCTGTTATTACGTCGAACCGGTACCCTTCTAGGTAGCAGGGCAGCTTCCGGATCGACCACACTATTGCCGGGCACTCTTTCTCGGTGGCGGAATAGTTCACCTCGGCCTTCAGCAACTTCCGGCTCGCGTACGCTATCACCCGCTCCTGTCCCTCAATCGTCTGCTTCAGTACTGCGCCGCAGTTCTTTACAATTTGTCGGGGCCCTCAGGTTCCGAGGTTTCTCTAGATCGGTACGTATTCCTTCCCCGCAAATGACATGTCCTAGGTAGACCAACCTCTCCCTGAAGAAGCTGCACTTCTTTCTATTTAGCCTGAGATTGGCCGCCCTTAACCGGCGGAATACCTCCCTCAAATTCTCCACATGCTGTTCTTTCGTTGCTCCTATTACCACGATGTCGTCTAGGTAGGCGAACGCATGAGGCTCCATCTCCGGCCCTATTACCGTATCCAAGGCACGCTGAAATGTCGCACACGCCGGGGACCGTGAACGCCGTTCACTCTCGACTGTCGGCTGCCATTGGTGTCTGCCAGTACCCGTGCTTCAAATCCAAAATGGAAATGAACCGGGCGTGGCGCAACCGTTCCAGGATGTGATTAATTCGTGGCACAGGATAAGCATCCGGAATGGCATGTGCATTGAGTTGTCGGTAGTCGATGCTAATGCGCAACTCGCCAGTCTTCTTCTTGACTAAGACGATTGGGGCGCTGTGCGGACTACGCGAAGGCTCGATGGCATTCGCCTGGATCAGCTCATCCACTTGCTCATCGATCACCCTCTGCATGGCCGGATTCTTCGGATAATATCTCTGTTTGAACGGCTTGTCGTCCTTTAGCCGGATCTTGTGCTCCGCGATATGCGAGACTCCTCCGAGCCCCTCGAAGAGTGCCAGTTCTGACCCCAGGAACTCCTTCAGTTCCGGATGCTGTTCTTGCCCTGCGTCTCGCATCCTCCAGGCATCATTCCGACTCCAGATAGAGCTCCACGATCACTCGACTCTGGGCGTCGCTCTTGATCACCTGCGTCCGTGTGGATCCTAGCCATCGCTCCTAACCCCTTCGTTCTCTGGCATCTTTCCGCCGTGCCGCCTCCGTAGCCAGTGTAGATCTGCCTTTGCAGCTTTACGCGCCACCTGTTGGGCTCTTCAAACTCTCGATCCGATCCCGGCCGCACTTCTTTCTTCGTGTCTTTTTCCATCGGTTCCCGAGCAGGTGCTCCCTTTCCATGACCTGGGAGGCCTTTCTTTGGTTCTCTCAATGTATTTTCTGCATTGTGTCGACGAGCAGGTGCTCCCCTTTCATGATCTGGGATGCCTTCATTCGGCTCCTCGCTCGTATCCGTTTCCGTGGGTTGTCGAGCAGGCGCTCCCGCGTCTCGGCGCGTGAGGCCTTCTTTCGGCTCATCTGTTGTCCCCGGCCCCGCGATCGGTGCCGTCACCGTCTCTAGGACCAGCTCTGCATTACCGCAGCGTACTACAGCTACCATTGCACCTAAGAAATCCATCCCCATGATAACGTGTTCTAGCATCGAGGGCATGATGAGCATCAACATACTGACCGCCTTCCCGGTTAGGCCGACGTCTAACCTCAATGCCTTTCCTACCTCGAGAGTTGACCCATCTGCCAGCCGAATGCGCGCCTGTACGTCCTACGCTCTTCCCTGAACCGACCACTTGCGTACGCAGTCTTCGCTCATGAAGCTGCGAGTGGCTCCAGTATCGATAGTGGCAGGCATCGTGCACCCGCCAATCTCCACCGTAGCAACGATCCTGCCCCCTTCCACCTTCAGTGGATGTCCTATTCCCGAGTCCCGTGTGTGCCGGCGCCGACCCGATCCTGGCCTGGGCGGCGCCGTTGCACGTTTCCCGCCTCCGTGCGGCGATTACAATTCTGGCTACTCTTGCCCCGGTTCCCACATACCCAACAGAATAAGACGGGTGCATTGGGGCATTTTCTAGCGAAGTGCCACTCCTGCGCGCACCTACGACATGCTCGTCGCGGATCGTACCCGGTTCCGGCCTCTTGGCTCATCATTTGGTGGGCGACTTCCGCAGGGGCCGTCGCTGGCGGGCGGAGACTTGCCTATCCACACCGGTCACTCCGGATCCGATGGGAGTAGACCGGAATGGGTTGAGGTGTCCCCCCTGGGGCTGTACCGTCCTCGCCTACTCTGCGCCACTCGAATTCGTGACCATCTGACTCCCTGACCTGCTTCCCGAGTATTCCGTTCTCTGTTTCATCACTGTCTCGTACTGCACGGCCAGCTGAGTCAGCAGGGACAAGGTGGAGAAGTCTTGCCGTCGTACGTAAGAGCTGTATTCGGGGGCGGCATTCTCATATATTTGGTGCAACTCCTGCGCCGGCTCATATCTGGCATGGTGCATCAAAGCCCGCAGCTCTATTAGGTATTCTTTAAATGCCTTCCCCACGCGCTGCCGGCGGGACCGGATTTCGTCCTCCAATCTCTCAAAGTAGCGCGGTAGCAGAAAGAATTCTAAGAAGCCCTTCCTAAACACGGACCATGTTACATTCCTTAGTCCGCTACTCAAGAACTAATGAGCGGCCCGGTCGCAGAATACCTCGCTCATGGCCCGAGGCAATCGATCGAGGGCTATACCGTACGTGATGGCGCGCTCCTCTAAGTCCTCTAAGAACCCAAGGGAATCGGACCGGCCATCGTACCTTATGCCCCACTTTCGGACTTGTTCCGGAACGTTTGCGAGAGGCTTGGCCTCCGACTGAGAATATGGACGGGAAAATAAGGGCCACTATTCGTTTCGTAAGGGGCTCGCCCTAGCTCCGTGCTAGACTGAGATTCCAACTCGGCAAGCCGGCCCCAAATTTCGGATGTATGGCCGCCATCCTGTACGAATGTGGATAACCGCTTACGCAACTCCTCCACGCGCCCTTCCTTATTCAGCCCGAACTCATCGGCGATCGCCACCAGTTCTTCTTTGCGTCGCTGGTGGATCCAGCGCACGCCCACACCCGAATTTTGGCACTCACCTGACTTCATTCTGAGTTTTTATTACTCACTCTAGGCTCGACTTCTCCCTCTTGTAGACTCTCGCTTGATTTTCGTGTTTGGTGTCTGGGCGATCCTCGTTCCGTTGATTTATGTAGCTCTCTTTGGTTCGTGTCTTTTCTGCAGGTTTATTTTCTTTTCATTTATATTTATTTATTTTTTTAAATTTTATTTATTTATTAATTTTTTTTTGTGTTTTTTCGTTTATTTTCCAAATTTGAACTAAAAAAAAATAATAAATAACTGCACTTAATGTTCGTTTCAATATTGACCATCCGTCACTTTGGTCCGTATTTGTCTTTGCCTTTGTCACTCATTATTTTATTTTTCTCATATATATATAGAAATTTTGTATCTTTGAGTTCACTTCACAAAAAAAATTAATCAAACTAAAACTTAATTCACTTTAATCCTGGTTCGTTTAACCTCTTCTTATTTTGCACTTGTCTGTTCTTATTGTTCACTTCTAATAAAACACACCCGTTGGCATTGTTCTCTCCAACTGTACTGACGAATTCAGTTTTCACCGCGCGTGAACTGAATTCGTCCCACTGTACAACCGCTGTCGCGACGCCTTAACGGCCCTTCGACGTCGACGTTGACTGCGGCGCACGTTTGTGCACACGTGTGCAAGCGTTGTTTCGACGTCGCCCGTATGGCGCGCGCTGTACTTTTCGACCGACCGCCCGACTCAAAAATACCCTGTAGGCATTTTTTTTTTTTTTGTAAAACACTTATTTTGGCATATTTGCGGGGCTTTAATCCGCAAACATGCCACGCCCCTAAACGCCTCTACGTCCCTGATCGGGCGCCACTTGTAAGGAAGCTACTGGCCGGGGTACAAATCTCGGTCTCGCCAGGTTCAGCAAGCCTACAAGACATTTGTTGGTTGCTGGGATGTAGGGTTTAGGGAGGGGGGAAGTGTCACAATTATCGCTACTCTGCCTTCGGTCCTTTTAGCGGAACGACCTGCGCATATCTGGAACGACCGAGCTGGCCTTCAGCGTTCGATTGATGGCGCAGGGGTCCCTGCCGGAGTCCGTCTCAACCCGCACACAAACTACCGTTGGGATGGTTATCATGAGCGACGCAACGAAGCCTCGTCTCTCTCTGGATACCCTACACTTTAGGTTAGGAAAAAGGTTGTTATTGTGAGCGATGAATCCTCGTCTCTCGATATACTACGCTTTAGGTTAAGAAAGAGGTTATGTCGAGCGACGTAAAGAAGCCTCGTCTCTCGATACTACGCTTTAAGTTAGGAAGGGAAGGGTATATTGAGTACCGGCTAGCCACGGTACCTGAGGTTAGTGTAAATAAAAGATGCCAAGGATTATTGGTTTATGAGTATTACTTTCTTCACGTCACTTTCCTTATAGCTGTTCAGCACTACCCTACTCTGTTTCCCTACACAAAAAGCATTGCCGCACTGCCTGGAGCCCTAGCACTCCGCTACCCGTTTCAGGGTTATGTTCTGCTTCTGCCACTCCGACACACGTCTACTTACTCTGATGGTCGCCGAAAAAGTGCCGGCACGCTCGCAAGCGAGCCAAACGCTTGCCTCGGCCGCTCAACTTCGCCGCGAACTTTCGCAACTTCGGCTCGGAGCTTTCGCTCTTCGCCGCCGAATTGAAGCTGCGCTGTCGAGACGGTGTTCAGTAACCGATCGGCAGCGCACGCAAAACTAACAAAACAATAAAATTCTATATCTAACGGCTCCTTGCCGCGAAACAGGATTGTGGGGTGGCTACTCTAGGTAGCCGCCTCACAAACGTCTGTAGCAAAACAGACCTACACAACACTATTCAAAATTACCCATATAATCGATATAATCAAACAGCCGGCACTATTAGCAAATGAACAACACTAACAGCTGTAACAACTAGAAAATGTAAACAACAAAGGGGAGTAGCTCAATATCAATTACCAAAAAACATATTAATCCACTTTACACTTCCAGATCGGGTCCCGGTACCGGACCCAGTGTACCCGCCCTACCTGAGACGATCACCTGATCTCGTCTCTCTTTTTTTGGCCACTAGATGGCCTGCATCAACCCGTGTCGGCTGTCATGTCCCCTTTCCCCATCACTTGATATTTAGCCGGACATTGTTTTCCTTCAATATGTGCATATAATTGGTTGCGTTTCTTATAGTTATTTACAATCAATATCTCTTATTTCATTTATCTTCACAGGATATTTCCAAACTTCTATTTATGGTTTCATGCAAGTGGACACTTCTTTTCAACTTCAACAATGGCGTAAATTTATTTGCATCATCTCATACTCATATCTCAACGTTCATTATATAATGTCATGCTAATGGACATCTTTCTCACTTCAACAGGTACACATAATTATTTGCATTATCTATAGTTATTAACAATTGATGATTTTCTAAAATTTTATTGAAAGCTGAACAACACAAAGAAAGGACGTCACCGTTGGGAACAACGTGGGACAACAAATGTTATAAATATTAAATTGAGCGATTGGCTCCCCACACGTTCGCGCACGTATACATATATGTGCCACCACGCTGGAAAAAAATGGTATGTTGGAAAGAAGCTTATATAAAAAACGATATTCGTAGGAATTAAATCGCTTAAATTCTCTTAGCCTACCTAAAGAGCTCTCTGGGGCGCTAAGGGCGATGGAAATAAATGATTTTATTGTATATTCAGTATAATTTGCTTAGCTGCCTCGAGTAGTTTGCAGAGACATTAAAGGCAGCTATCCTAAAAGGGCAGTTAACTTAATTTATTTTTTTATCCTAAAAGTGAATCGATTTCATAGTAACCACTATTTTTTTTAAGTAGTACTGAATTCTATTTAACATTACTAAGTTTAATAAATTTATTTGATAGTTTTTATTAACTAGATGTATTTATATAAGATTTAATTCAATTTCAATACAGTTTATTGTATACATAAGAAAAACAAATCAAAAATCAGCATAACTGATCATAGATGGCGCAGTTAACTTATATGATATTCATAGAAACTGTCAAAAAATTATTGCCGATAGGAGGCGCTTTAGTGCAAAGGCTGTTAAGTTAAATCACTAACTATACAATGCATAGACATGTCAAACAGCGGAATAATCGGATGCCGATAAATCGTCAACGATTGAGCCCCATTAGTGTCCGCAAACAGCGGAATAATCGGATGCCGATAAATCGTCAACGACTGAGCCCCATTAGTGTCCGCAACCATTTTAGTGTGCCCAGACAAAGTAAGACTGCTGAGAGTGGCAGCCGAACGCCGGCCTCGAAAGCCGAACGTTCAGTATGAAGCCGCATCTCGCTCAGCGCATAACGTCGCTGCGGCTGATGCCTTTTCATAATATATATATGTTAGTTTTTAATTCCTTACATCCCAAAAACATACATGTGTGTGTATGCATGTGCAGAGTGTGCCTCGCTCTCACTTATTGATTTGCGCACTTGTGTGCATCTCCTTCTCCCTGCATAGCTTCTCAAAAACCCCGAGATCTACAAACACACATATGTTTGTGTTATGTGGATGTGCGCACAAGTAGATCGCGGCGTTTGTCGCGAGCCAGAGATTTTTTCTTCAATTGTGTGCCCTTTGTGCCTGTGGCACACACATTCAAATTCTCTATCATGTATTTCATCGTCCAGTCAGGCATAATTAGAAGAATCTGATATATTTATATTTATTAGAAACTTAAATGACCTAAATGATATATTTATATATTATATTTTATTTTTTTTTGTTTACTGTGGGGACCAATTTTACTTAAAATTAAAAAAAAAAACGAAGTCGTATTTCTGCAAGGGTAATTCTTCGTCGGCTTGTCGAATAATTTAAGAAAAGACCAAAAATTGAAAATGTTCAATTTTTTCAACTTGCTACTATGTGTGAACAGGCAACGAAAACAGGTGAACCGCACTTGCCGCTCGTTTGCACTTTGATATGGAAAAAATGCAAGTGATCTTTTAATGTATTTTTCGACATTGTAAACATTTTGGGTTAAAGGGTATTATGGCAGGCAATAAACGATCAGAATGTCCAGCATCCATTTGTCCATTTGTTCCCATGCATGCCAAAAAAAAGACCGTGCCTGCCGCCCAAATTTACGCACCCATTGATGAAAATATCTCTGTCTCACGACAAACCCTTGATCGGCTCATTCGCACACATTTGTGTGTGTGTGTTTGTGGGTCTGTGTCTGTGTAGAGCTCGAAATTCAAAAATGCCAAAAACTTAAAATTTGGTCAAATTTGCATCGGGCAGGCAGGCAGGCAACCAACACGCACACAAGCGCATAAATGCTTCTATCCATATAGAAAAGTGTTTAAGTGTGTGTGCTTGGCAGGCCCAAAGAGTTATCATGCACTTATGCCAACGTTCAGGTACCCTTACCCTTACAACAATCATGGAAAATAGGAGTTTTGCACATGAACAGGCCAAACCCTTTAATAATGTCACCCAACTGCTTACTCGAAAGAGTGTGCGTGTGCACAAGTAGCAAGTTGAAAAAATTAAACATTTAAAATTTTTGGTCTTTTCTTAAATTATTCGACAAGACGACGAAGAATTACCCTTGCAGAAATACGACTTAGTTTTTTTTTTTAATTTTAAGCAAAATTGGTCCCCACAGTAAACAAAAATATTAGAATATATAATATTAATATTTCATTTGGGTCATTTAAGTTTTTATTAAATATAAATATATCAGATTCTTCTCATTATGCCTGACTGGACGAAGAAATACATTAAAGAGCATTTGAATATGTATGCCACAGGCACAAAGGGCAGACAATTGAAGAAAAAATCTCTGGATCGCGACAAACGCCGCGATCTACTTGTGCGCACATCCACATAACTCAAACATATGTGTGTTTGTAGATCTCGGGGTTTTTGAGAAGCTATGCAGGGAGAAGGAGATGCACACAAGTGCGCAAATCAATAAGTGAGAGCGAGACACACATATGTATGGTTTTGGGATGTAAGGAATTAAAAACTAACATATATATATTATGAAAAGGCATCAGCCGCAGCGACGTTATGCGCTGAGCGAGATGCGGCTTCATACTGAACGTTCGGCTTTCGAGGCCGGCGTTCGGCTGCCACTCTCAGCTGTCTTACTTTGTCTGGGCACACTAAAATGGTTGCGGACACTAATGGGGCTCATGACATGTCTATGCATTGTATAGTTAGTAGTTAAATGCACTTAACGTAATTAATTTCGTACAAAATTAGCTCTTATTACAGCGAAAAGAAAATTTCAGGCAGCTATCTTACCGATGCAGCTAATTATCGAGGCAGCAAAGCAAATTATACTGTATATATGTATGGATCGTGAGGAATCGAAATTACTTCATTTTTTTTTCTTTTCTTAGATGGCAGGTAATAGCTATAGATTGCATATATGAGCGTATGTATACATAAGGCCAACAAACAAAACTAAATTTAATAATTTAAAAATCTTTTCTCATTCAGGGGTCTCAAATATGAGTCTGCTTCTGCCTTTGCCTGTTGATCGGGGCGAGGCTGGGCGTTATGGAACGGACTCATTCGGATGATGTGGGCGTGATCTCGCCCGTGGCCGCTTCTTGGCCTGTCCTTCTGGATAGCGTCAGTAACACGTACGCCGAGGGTATGGCTGAGGTGCGCCGCTGAGCCGAAACTTGGACTAGGGGTTAAACTGTTAGTCCTCTCTGGTCCGAGAGCTGGTCCCTTTGTTGCCGGAACCGTGGGTCGTTTATTTTATGAGTTGACTTATTGTAAGCTTAACGCTTTTTTTTTTTTACAAATTTTGTACATTTTGGCACAATGTTTAATTTCAAGTTGCATTATTAAACAACAGCAACATTTATCGTATTCGTTTTGTACGCTTCGGCTTAGCTGGCCGGCTAGAAACTTTCTTTGGAATCTTTAGTGCGGGACCGACATGCAAAAAGAAAAAACTTTAAACTAGCTTCGAGCACAGCACGCCCGCCGTTGACCGCTGACAAAATTGAACTCCCTGCTGTACATTTGCGCAGCAACATCATCGGTGACGAGTTTCGGCACACGCATACATATACGAGGCGGGCACCGTTGCTGTCCATCTGCACAGCTACACTCTAGGGTCAACGGCCCAGCTGTAGGCCAAGGGCATTAACAAGGGCACCCGATCCGCTCTCCTCCTAATCTCTCAATGAGCGAATCGGTTGGCCAATGATGATCGCTCAATGGCGTTATCCCTCCCAGCGCAGTGAATCGCAAGCCGGGCGTTGCCGCTTTTCAATTAATTGAGCACCGCTGTGTGCCCGGTTTCACCCCCGCTACTCTGCTCATACGACAAAAAGATATCGGCGTGGCCGATAATAAAGAAAACAACCAACTAGGCAAACTATCGATGCTGCCAATAAAGTCAAATGCAACAAACAGGATTTCGTTATCTATTTTTATCGCTTGCTTCCAAACGAGGAAAGTAATCGATTATCGGAAGCAAACTCTAACTCCTTCTGCCTGTTATGTTCTTTCAATTGTACATAAGCATTATACCCCTTTTATCTATTTACTGTTGTCTTTTACTTTCGCGGAAAACGATCTATTGCTGAAAATTTCATCAAGATCGGTTATTAAACACTGGAGTCATTAAAGAAAACCTATGGGTTATATATACATATGGGCAGGTCAGGTGTTTGCGGCAGCTAGCGAAAATATCATGAATTTCTCTATATGTATGTACATGTGCACATATACACACACATGCATACACATAAATAAAATTACAATTGCGATTGTGTTCAATACTAAGCTCTGTGTAGGTGCTTCTATTTAAATTCAGTTTTATTCATTGAAACTCATTTCTTGGTATAGTTGTGGAGTATAAGGCGGTGACAAGGATGAATGGAGTTGCAAGTTCGAGTCCGCTACGGGGGAGCAACTTTAAAAAAAAATGTTGGAAATGCTTTCATCTGGCGTGTGAGTTTTCGCACGACATGCCTGCCGACTGGTTATTCGTTCTCCAAAAGCCAGACGAATGAATGCCGAAGTCGCGGCGCTTGCTGATGCGCTGACACGAGCAACGAAGTTAGTCGCCAGCCTGCCTTCAGCAAAGCTGGTCGATGGTGCTTTGCGTCGCTTTTTTTTCGAAGTACATTGAGCAAAAAGTTTTCAACTTACGATCGACGCAAAGTACTTCTGCTTTATCCATGAAATGCATGCTTTATTTAAATGATACATTACCCTAGATACTAACTATAAATTTTGCAGAAAAAATTAAGAATAAAATAATTTTTTTACAAGGCGCTAATTGTGCAATAACTTTGTTAAGAAAATATCACACATAGATTTATTTCACTTTTGTCTTTGGACAGTGTATGCTCGAGAAAAGTTCTTGTTCAGCCAATGGCGTGCAAGCACCTATGTTTGTATGTGTGAATTACGCATGCATAACTACATCAAAATATGTATGTATGTATATGTATATGTGTTGTTATTCACTGCCTTGGCTTTGGCTGGTGGAGAAATAAATTTTGGTTTCTAGCGCTGATCATGCACGACCTATTCCAAATTTGTATTCACATATGAATGCATGTTGTGTACTCAGGGCTTTAAAGTCGATGCAAATATTTATATAATTTCTATAAATTAACTTATTAATTAATTATTTTTAAGAAATAAAAGAAATGAAAGAAGAGCGCAAATTTTGTGTTTTCAAAGATTCATTTTATCAATTATTTTTATGTTTAAATAATTTTTTACTCTGCCGGTCGAACTAGCTACCGACGTATTTAATTTACCCTATTTGTATTGTTTGGCACTCTTTTATTTTTTAATAAAATAGAAATAATAATAAATAATTAATCATTTAATTTAAAGATATTATATAAAGAAATTAATTTAAAGAAAATATAAAGAAATTATATAAAATTATATAGAGGTGACCTCAGTACACAGCATGCATTCGTTTGTGAATACAAATTTGGGATAGGTGCATGATCAGCGCTAGAAAACTAACAAAATTGATTTCTTTGCTAGCTAAAGCCAGAGCTGTGAATAACAACACATTCAAATATGCTGTTATGTATGTATACTAACACACATACAAACATAATTGCTTGAACGGCTCTCATAGAGCCGAAGCGCAGAATACATTCTATTTTTAGCTTTTTGCTCTTTCGGCTGTGAGAGCGATATGATACTGATTTCGTTTTCGTTCTCAAATTTCAAAAAAGCAAGTTGCATAGTAGCATTTTGTTGTATGGCGTTACTCATCTTAGTGTTTATATTGTCTTTGGTCTAGGGTATCCCCCAGTCGGGCGCTTGCAACTAGAGCACTCTTGCTTTAATTCAAATTAGATAATGTGAGTGTTTTAAATTAATTCAAACAGAAGTGTTTTCTCTTGCTTGTATCTGGGCTGTAAGGAATTCAAGACAAACATACGTATATATATCCAGCCGTTGCGTTATGGCTAGCGAAAGGTGCGTGCTTACTCTCTCCACTTGCTCTTGAGAGTCCATGAGTCCTTGTCCCTATTCGTCTTCGCTGGTCGTTCCCTGGATAAAAGGTTTTAATTGCGCAATATTGGCCACTCTTCTTGCGCTCGCCGGACCTTACCCTTAGCGGCCATGGACAATTGGTGCTGCGTAATAGGAATATCGAGTCCAACCAAGGTCGCCATTCTCCACTCAGCAAGTTGTAGTGCCCGCCTTAATCCTTTGAATCACGTTGCAGATTGCTGTAGACGAAATTAAAAATGTACCTCAATTTAACCGTCCTTTCCCTGGAGTCGAATGTACTAGTTGCAGACCCCGGGACAACCAGATTGAATAATGCACGCTGTTCTCTGTTCTGCATGGGAAAGGCGGGACTGAACCCAGTCAAATTCGCCACATTGGAGTTGACCGCTGGCGATATCGTCCCACGACCTCTGATGGCCCTCGACAAAGTACGCTATCATGGTCTTAAACGTCCTCTTGGTCCTCTCAGTTGGATTCTCTTGGGGATAGTAGGCAACAGTGAATTGGACTTGTACCCCAAGTATTTATTTATTTATTTTTATTTATTTATTTATTTATAAATGGTCGACAAGACGAGTGCCATCCTAATAATTTTGAACATTATACATACATTGTAAGATTTAAATGCTAAAAGCCTAGTTAGAATACACAATTTTCTAATAGCATCACCGACCGATGGAGGTGTTTTATTTGCCCATCCGGCCAGCTATGCCCCTTTTCACAGGAAATTTTGTCCTTGACCTACATCTAAAAAGAAGGGTGTTAGTAGAGAAATTATGGTCTATAGAAAAATTTAAAATAATCTAAATTTACTATATTAATTATTAAAATATAATAAATAGGAAAAAAGAAAGTAAGAAGTTGTTAGCAAAGTTATGAAATGTATGCTAGAAATATAGAGTGTTAAATCATGGATAAAGAGATAGTAATGGGAAATCACCGAAGGAATTAGGAAGGACCTAAAAAGTCGCCCGGTCCCCCAAATGTCCGATCTCCTTGATATAGTCGGAGAACTTGACAGGTTCCCCGGCGATCCTGGCACCCATACTCGATACCCCTTTTCAGGGGGTCTCGACCACCACTGTTTGCTGGCAAGTCTCTGGAGGGTGCCTTGATAGTGCATCAGCCACAATATTGAACTTCCTACTCGCACAGGCTATCACTCGTTCCAGCCCCTCCATCGGCTGCGTCAGCACTGCACCGAGCCCATGTTCACTCTCGTCAGTACGCAAGACGAACCTAGCGGAAAAGTCGGGACAAGCTAACAGAGAGGCGATCTTCAAGCTGTCCTTCAATTGACGCAATGCCTTCTCTTGTTCCCCACCCCATGACAATTTCTGACCCTCCTTCAGAAGTGACGTCAGCGGCTGTACCTGAACCGTGAAGTTAGGCACGAAACGCTCGAACCACGAGGCCATCCCGAGACACTATCGCAACTCCTTACAGTTTGTCGCCTTCACCTTCTTCGGACCGGTTCGTATCTCCTTCCCGCTACACGTGCTCAATGTAGACTAGCCGCTGCCTGAAGAAGCTACACTTCTTCCTGTTCAACCTTAGGTTCGCTGCCCTCAGCCGGCGGAACACCCCCCACAGATTCTCGACATGTCGCTCTGGCGACGCCCTATCACCACAATGTCGTCTAGATGTACGAACGCATACGGCTCCACTTCCGGCCGTATTATTATGTCAAGTGTCCGCTGTAAGATAGCAGATGTCGAATGTAGGCCAAATGGCATCACCCGCCATTGTAACAAACTTGTTACGGGCACCGTAAACGCCGTACATTCCCTTGTAACATACAAGTTAAATTGTAGCCGTGCAGATGTTGATGAATGCATGTTCGGTGGAGTACGCGCTGGATCCGGCTCATCTTCGTCGGCAATATGGGCTGTGGGTCAAAGGGGCTGAATTCTACTTCTAAAAGGTGCGATCTACTACTAAAACTAAAACAAAGGGTTGACGAAAGGCATAACCTACTAAGGCATAGCGGAAATTCAAGTGACAAGCGCCACTACAAGTCTATCGGCCAAAATCACGCTTGTGGTAACAACAAGCGGGATCAGTGCTTGGAACTAAAGCTATCTATTGTTTTATATCCTTTGCGTGATATTTTCCTATTAGTTTGCCCTGAAGGTCTTCTAGTTCGTAATAACTGTTTCATAACTTACGCCTGATTCGGGCTTTTACAAAAGTGGGAGCTAACTTAGCATTAAATCCTTTAGCAAAACTGCTCTGCTGGAAATTTCGG